TTGTATATCTGCAAAATTATCACCACACTATGTCTAGTTAACATCTATCACCATACATACAGAATTCTTTTCTTGTGAATGAGAACCTTTAAGATCTACTATCAGCAATTTTCAAATATGCAATACAGTATTATTATTATCACCATGCTGTACATTACATCCCATGACATTTATAACTGGAAGTTTGCACCCTTTACCTATTTTTCTGCCCCACCCCCACCTCTGGCAACCACCAATCTATTCTCTGTATCCATAAGCTTGTTCTGTTTTTGTTTTAGTTTTTACAGATAAGTGAGATCATATGGTATTTGTCTTTCTTTGTCTGAATTATTTCATTTAACATAATGCCCTAAAGGTTCATCCATGTTGTTCCAACTGGTGAGACTTTATTCCTTTGTATGGTTGAGTAATATTCCATTATATATATTTAAATAATTTCTTCATTCATTCATCAATGAACACTTAATTTGTTTTCATATCTCGGCTACTATAAATAATGCTGCAATGAACATGGGGGTGTATATTCTTTGAGTTAGGGTTTTCATTTTCTTTGGATAAACACCCAAAGTGGAATTGCTGGATGGCATTATAGTTCTATTTTTAATTTTTTGAGAAACCTCCATAGTGTTTTAGTGATGCACCAATTTACATTCCCACCAACAGTGTACAAAGGTTCCTTTTTCTTCACATCTTGAGCAACACCTGCTACTTCCTATCTTTTTGTAAAAGCCATCCTAACAGGTGTGATGTGATATCTCACTGTGGTTTTAATTTGCATTTCCCTTATAAATAATGATGTTGAGCATCTTTTCATGTACTTGTGGCCATCTGCATGTGTTCCTTGAAAAAATGTGTATTGAGGTTCTCAACATCATTTTTAGAGACTGATTAAAAATCCCATTTTTTTGTTAATTATTTAACTATTCCTCTTCTGATGGACTTTAGGTTATTTTCAATATTTATTAAAATAACTGCAATGACTGTCTTTGTGAAAAAGTTTATTTTTGATTGTTGTTAATCCTCACCCTGGGATATTTTTCCTTTGATTTTTTTTTTTTTTTTTTAGAGAGAGAGAGAGAGAGAGAGAGAGAGAGAGAGAGAGAGAGAGAGAGAGAGAGAGAGAGGAATGCAGGGGGAGAGACAGAGAGATACATCCATTGGCTGCCACAGTGATAGAGTCTGCAACAGAGGTATATGTCCTTGACTGGAGTCAAACCCAGGACACTTCAGTCTGCAAGCCAACACCCTATCTACTGAGCAAAACTGGCTCGGGTGCAAAAGCTTTAAATTTATTTATTTATTTATTTATTTATTTATTTATTTATTTATTTCAGAGAGGAAGGAGATGGAGAAAGAGAAACATACATTAATGATGAGAGAATCATTGAAAGGCTGCCTCCCGCACTCCCCCTACTGGGATCAAGCCTGAACCCCAGCATGTGCCCTGACCAGAATCTATTCTTGATCTCCTGGTTCATAGGTCATTGCTCAACCATGGAGCCACACTGGCTGGATGAGCAAAAGCTTTTTATGCATTTAGGACATATTCCCCAAAATGGAACTGCTGTGTCAGAGAATATGGATGTTTTTAATCTTAATATTTTCATTCTTAATTTGCCCTCAAATTCTTACAGGTAAACATCCCTTTTCCATAATAATCCTGTAATCTAAAAAGCACTGAAAATTGAAAGCACCTTCATATTTTACCTGACTTGTAAGCGTTTAGGAGTAAAACCTGAGTAGGATTGATGGAAAGTGATTTATCAACTTTTATTTTTCAACGTGTATAAATATTTATGTTTTGCATAAATATTAATGCATTTGATTATGGGATAATGCTTCAGTACCCACTAAGAGAGTTGGGTAATTACATTCGCAACATATGCCTTTTGAAAATCCCCAAATATAAAAGATCAACCGAAGGACTTATATACATGCATATAAGTACAACCAATGGACACAAAACTCTGGGGAGGGAGGGCTTGTATGGGGGGGCAATGGTATATGTACAAAGATAATAATTTAATTTAAAAAATTAAAATAAAAAATAATAAAAATTAAAAAAATCTTACTTTAAAACTGTATCCAGGCTTAAGGGTTTGAGATGAGGATTGTGAACCTGTACTAGTAATGTCCCAAGAATGTACTGGATATGTTAATTAAAAAAAAAAATCTTTGCTGATGCTGAGACCGGTTTGGCTCAATGGATAGAGCGTCGGCTTGGGGACTGAGCGGACCTGGGTTTGATTCTGGTCAAGGGCATGTACCTTGGTTGCGGGCATATCCCCAGTAGGGGGTGTGCAAGAGGCATCGATGTTTCTGGCTCTCTATCTCTCTCCTTTCCTCTCTGTACAAAATCAATAAAATATATTTAAAAAAAAATCTTTGCTGAAATTTTTGTCCTGGTGTTATGGGCTGATACCAGTACCTCAAAATGTGACTGTATTTGGAGACAGTCTTCAAAGAGGTAATTAAAGCAAAATGAGGTAATTAGGATAGGACCTAATCCAAAATGACTGGTGTCTTTAAAAGAAGCTATTAGGGCACATTTACACAGAGGGAAGACTTCCTAAAGGCACAGAGAGAAGGCAGCCATCTATAAACCATTAGGAGAGAGGCCTCAGAAGAAACCAGGCCTGTGGATAATCTAGCCTCCAAAATAGTAAAATGAATTTCTGATGTTAGGTCACTCAGACTGTGGGTATTTTGTTTTGGCACCCTAGAAACGAATACAATGGTGACATATAGATTTTATAACCAACAAAGTATCTCCATTTTGCAAAAGCACCAAGCAACTAAACTAAACCACGACCCCAAAAATCAAGCTTTAAAAAGTATGATTGGTTTTATAACTGTTGCCATCACTTTCACAAGTAGACCACAATTCTTTTTTTTTTTGTTCTTTTTGTTTTTTTGTTTTTTTTGCCCCCCTCCCTCCCTCCCATACATAGACCACAATTCTTGTCGGTTTCCTGGAAGATCCAGCCAGTTGAGAAATTAAAAAAAAAAAAATCACAATGTCATAGGCTTCAAGGGACTTTAATTGAGACACAGTTTTAACTCCTTTATAGATGGAAAAAAAGAAGTCGCTAGCCTAAGCTTAACCATTGCATTGCTGAGAGATTGAAGACAAGGCCTTAGATCTTGTTTGCTCTGGCCAATCCTCCTCCTCAGGGTTTCTGTGCTTCTGAATCAAGGTCTGAGTCTCAAGAAAGTGACACTTGCAAGAATTACGGATGGCGCAGTGAGTTCAGAGATTGCCATAAATGGGATTGATATGATTAATCAGAAAGCAGGGCTGGTGAACAACCTCTAATAGGAAATCTGAGCTCTAATCCTGGCCTGTTCATGAAAGAAAAACCACTTAACCAGGGCTCTAAGTTCCTTGTCTTTCAAATGAAGGGATAGCCTAGTTGATGAGAACATTTGCATAGTACTTGGAGTTCTTTAAAATGTGCATTTGTGTAAAGAGAGTTACAAAGTACCTGGTGTATAGTGCTAAAAAAAAAAAGGTTATTTTATTATTAACCACACAACCCCATAAATAGAGAAGCCATTTTGCAGATGTAAAAGCTAAGAATTACAGAAATTAACCACATAATTTTCCAAGGTCTCAGCAGGGAAAGTAGGCCGAGACCGGGACTTCCATTTCCTTTGTAGTACACTAAAGCTCATTTAGGTGAAAGACCATTATTTTACAATAATTTAGACTTGCTGTGAATCTAGAAAGATGTAGAAACAGTATGGTCAAAGAGAAGAGGGAAATACTTTATGCAGAAGCAAGCTATGTTTGTGAAGGAAGGGTTTGGGAAGATTATTTCCTCTGCAGTCTTTTCCACGAGGCAGCCTTTCTGATGGGGCGTGCGTGGGGTGGGAGGAAAGAAGGTGTGGGGGTCCTTACAGCCAGACTAAGTAGCCTCAGGAAAAACCCTGATGAGAGTAGCAGCCCATTACTAGCATTTTATTACTTATCTAGTTGTGGATTATTAAATAGATTGGGGAATAAGGGCTGGATGTTCAGGGACGAGTTAGATGGCTGTTATATAGTATTAAAGAACAAGAAGAGGGCATCCAGTAGGTTGAGATAAAATTAATGAGACCTGGGAGGAAGGTCTTCTGTTTTTAGTCAAGAGATCATGTGCAGGCACATGGAAAGCCGTTACTTTTATTTATTTTTTAAAAATATATTTTTATTGATTTCAGAGAGGAAGGAAGGAGAGACAGAAACACCAATGATGAGAGAGAATCATCCATAGCCTCCCTCCTGCACGATCAGAGCCCACAACCCAGGCATGTGCCCTTGACTAGAATCGAACCCGGGACCCTTCAGCCCCTCAGGTCCAAGCTCTATCCACTGAGCCAAACCGTTATTATTATTATTTTTAAAGGACTAACGAGCACTTTAAATTTTTTTTTTTAAAGCTACTGTAAGAGGCCTGGGAAGCCCAAGTAGCGCATTTGTAATTAAAACCAGGGTTAGATTCCCGGCGGTTATCTTCTAATTATGCAATGCAGAGGAAGTCGTCTAACCTCTGGCGAACCTCGGTTTCATTTCCTCCGAGTTAAGCGCGAAATCCCCCGCTTGGCAAACCACGACAGTGTTCTAAGGCCCCAGCAAAGCGCTGCAGGCTGGCTCCCGCCCTCCCGCCCCCTCCGGGCATCCTTCGGGCTGGGTCGGAGAAGCCCAGGGCGGCCGAGCCTGGGAAAGCGGTTCTCCCGCAGACACCCCCTCCCCGCTCCCGACCCCCAACCTGGGGCTGACCTCCAGACTCCGGCCCCAGCTACGCCCCAGCGGGAGGACCGAGCATCCCCCGCCAGCCCGCGGGGCGGAGAGGGGCCCGGAGCGCGCGGCGGCCCCAGCGCGCCCGGGATGCCTGGCGGAGGCCGCGGGAGCGGGCGCGGGGCGCGGGGCGCGGGCGGGGCGGCGGCGCCCAGGCCGCAGCGTCACCCCCACGCCGCCCGCCGCCGCCCGCGAACTCGCCGCGGCGCTGGGCCGCGCTGGCCGCGTTTGAAGCCGCGGGCGCGGCCGCTGGTTGGCGGGCGCGCGTCACGTGGCGCGGGCAGGAGTTTCCCCGACAGCTGGGGGCTGCGTGGGATCCGGCGGCGGCTCGGAGCGCGGCGCTGCGGCCCTCCCCGCCCCTCCTCCTCCCCGCCCGCTTCCGCCCGGCTTATTCTCCTCCGTATTGACAAACAGAGCGGCCGCGGCGGCGACTCTCGGCGAGCATCGGTTAGCCAAGCCATGGGAGACAAGAAGAGCCCCACCAGGTAACGGCGCCCGGCCCTCGGGCCCGGACAGGGCGGGCGGCGGCGGCGGCGGCGGCGGGGCCCTCGCGCCGGGCTGCGGGCGGGGGCCGCCTCGCTCGCCGCCCGGGCAGCCAGTGGGGCGAGATCGGCGGGCGACGCCGCTGCTCCGGCGCCGGCCCCGGCCCCACAATGGAGCCGCGATGGCGGCGGCGGCCCGAGCGGCGGCCCGGGGTGTCAGGGCGGCGCGGCGGCAGGGTTAGCGGCGACCGCACCGCGCTCGCGCCCTCCTCCTCCCCGGCTCCCCTCCCCCTCCGGGCGGAGCGGCGGGGCCCGCGGGGCCGGGGTCGCGGATCTGGGGCAGGGGGCGGGGCGGGCGGGCGCCGGGCGCGGCCTGCTGCTGACCCCGCGGGCGCCGTGTCCGGGTTGTGTCGTGCAGGCCGAAGCGGCAGCCGAAGCCGTCCTCGGACGAGGGCTACTGGGACTGCAGCGTCTGCACCTTCCGGAACAGCGCCGAGGCCTTCAAGTGCATGATGTGCGATGTGCGGAAGGGCACCTCCACCCGGTGAGTCCCGCGGCCGGGGGCCCCCCGCGCGCCGCCGGGGAGGACGCCCCTGCGGCTGCGGCACCTCCACCCCCCACTCCCTCCGTGACACCCGCAGCCCGGGCGAGAGGCTGCCAGAGGAGGGGGCGGGCGCGGTAGGAATGGGGTCAGATTGATCGCGACCCCAGCCCTGGTTTGCGGTGCGGGGGTAATGGAAGAGGCTGTAACGTCTTTCGCTGCCAGGAGGGCATGCATTATTGAAGGGAGGCCGGAGCGACTTGGATTCAATTCGTGTCACTGGGTGCACTGCCCTCCCCCCTCCCACCCTCCACGCCCCACCCCGCACACATTCCGGATGTAACAGTGTGTTGGCTGCATGGTTGCGTTAGTGTGTACGAACCGAAGGAAAATCATGAAGATGACCTCTTTAGGAGCAAAAGATGTCATGTGCGATCGTTCTTCAAGTAAAGTATTTTTTTGATTATAGGATATGCAGTAGGTTTAACTTCCTTTTTCATACAGACGTCTGGAAGGGTCAGATCAAGGTTTTGCTTCATGTGTGTATTCCAGTTCTTTAGTATTTTATAAATAGGGAGTTGGAGAGGAGCCCAGTCACGGACACATTTTTTTTTAACCGAAAGTAATCTGAATATCTTTAGTTTGAGCAAATGGCAATCAGTTAGACTATACAAATGAGATGCATTGATCTCTTGTCTATTTTCAGTCTTTATTTTATTGTAAGCTTGCAAATAACTGAGTCTTTTACAAAAACATTTAAGTTGATTTACTGAGTAAAGAAAATCATCCAGGAAATTCAAAGTCAGTGACAGTCTTGATACGCCAGCACTTAGTTGCAGAGTTCCTTCACCTTTATCGGAAGGTAGCTTTTAAGTTAATTTATTGTAATTCTGTGATTTATAGCTTGATATTTAGTTAACATGTATTTTGATATCACAGAATCTGTAACAAACTAAATTGCCACAAGAATATAAGTGTACTAATGTGATATACTGTTGTAAAAAACATTAACACAAAAATCGACTTTAGGTTTATATATTCAGTAGAAATTAGATTTCTAAAAATGAGAGATTCAGATTTTTAAACACCATTTAGAATATTTTATTAAAAGTTTAAAATGTAAATTTAGAAATGGCAATAATTTAACATTTTAAGATTTATTCAGTGAATGAAGCTAGCTGCTTTGGACTTAAGTTTTTTTTTGTAAATCATAGTATGCTTTTTGCATATTCCCATCTTCATTGGATGAAATTTTCCACAATATTCTTTAAAAAGCAAATTTTCAAACATTTTCAGAAAATTTGGTTTTTGAAGGCAGGAATTTTAAAGTGGAGATTATAATGATCATTATAATCTTAATCTCTGGTATGAAATTATTGCTTTTTGTTGTTCCCTCTATTTTCTTGTAGCTGGTAGAAAATTACTGAAACTAGAAGAGACTGTATGTTTATTTGCAGGGACAGCAAGGAAGGGGGGAAGCTGGTGTCCTACTCCACAGCCAGTCTTGGGGTTAGAGGAACCCTGAGAAATAGAGTAGGTGGTGGCAGCTCAGAAGAGAAGAAACAGGCTGAATACCTGGCACCTGGAAAAAGAAGGAATATGGTGCACAGGGGAGTTGGCCCAGGACAGAGAAGTGGGCCTAGTTTAAAAGAGGCTTGAGTCCCCCGTGGGGGCCCCTGACAATTTTCATCAGTACATCTGAGCTCTTGTAGATCCAATTTTTAGTGGATTACTTGAGGAGGACTCAGAGAAGCATTCTCATTTGGATTGAAACTGAAGAGGCTCTGGGCAACTCACCAGAAGTCTAAGGGACACTCTGTTCCTAAAAGTAAGTGTTCTACACTACAACCCTCTCAGCTTCTTCTTCCCCTCTCTGAATTCTCTCTTCTCTTTTGATTTTGGCTATAAATTAAGAGCTCAAAGAGCTCTAATTTCTTGGTTATTTTCTTCATACTGTCACTTCAGAAAATCAGAGTGGAATCCATGTTTAGATGGAACAATGGAGCAGGCGTTGTTAATGGGGCAGATATTGATTGCACCACAAAATATTGCCCTCTTTGGTCATGTCAGGAAACAGGGTTAAAGGACTGCAGAACACTCTGGAGAAGCAAAAGTTTTTAGTAGTTGGAAGAAATAATTCTCTACAACTGACATGTTAATTAGCAGTTAAGGTAATTTCAAGGATAAGATTGGTGATTACCAAAGCAGGGACTAGAGAGCCGTGGAACAGAAGGATGCAGATTGCTAATGTCTAGTTTGCAAGATGACAGACTGGGCTTGAATTCCTTCCGTCAGACTGACCTTTGAACTGATTCTGTCTGGGTCCATAAATGGGAGGCCAAGTGTAAGCCTTCCCAGACCCTTGAAACATCTTTTTTTTCCTAAACCTTCGGAGAAGATGTGGCCATGTTCCCCTAGAAAGTCTTCACTGACAATTTTATTTTCTTTAAAGAATACTTAGTTAAAAAAAAGTCTAGTTCAAATCCTTTATATTACAGAAGACCATTTCCTTTGGCTATATCCTTAGTAGGTCACGTTTTTCTCCAGAATAACAGTTTGTATGGAATGGAATGCTGTTATGATCATAGCAGTATTTTAAATGAAATGCGATTTGATTGAAGTAGCTTCAATCCTAAGTTGATAAATTACATTCTTTAAATTTAAACCATTTCTATGATTGAATTTTAGTTTGTACTTCCTGGCCTTATTAGTTTAAATTTTATTAATCCTTTTTTAATCCAGGGGCTAAATAACTATAAGTTCAAGTACTCGAGGTTTTCTACATTGTACTTCTGTGAGCGAAAATGATAAATGTCAAAATGACAGGAAAATTTTAAAAAGAAAAAGTTATGGTGACAAATTATTATCAAAAAAAAATTTTTAATGTTTATTTTTATTTTTAAAATATTTATATTGACTTCATAAAGGAGAAGGAATGAGAGATAGAAACATCAATGATGAGAGGGAATCATTGATTCACTGCCTCCTGCAGTCCCCCAATTGGGAATTAAACCTGCAACCTGGGCATGCGCCCTTGATGGTAATTGAACCCGGGACTCTTCAGCCCACAGGCCAATGCTCTATCCACTGAGCCAAACCAGTTAGGGCTCCTTCATATTTATATCTATCTCAGCTTCTTATAACACAATATGTCTCAAATATAAACCCAAGAAACTTTATTAAGAGCCACTCTGAATCACCTCAGAAAATGAAACATTGAGTATAGTGTCTGGGTGAGGATAGTTTAATGTAAAGTATATCCTCGCAGATATACTTCACCACCATGCACATGATGATTTAGATTAGTATCTTAATTGTCACTTCTTCATATAGGAATGGAAATTACTGTTTAATTTCAGATAGCAAATATTTAAAAATGATGACACCCCAGCCGATTTGGCTCAGTGGATAGAGCGTTGGCCTGTGGACTGAAGAGTCGGTCCCAGGTTTGATTCCGGTCAAGGGCATGTACCTGGGTTTCGGGCTCATCCCCAATTGGGGTGTGCAGGAGGCAGCCGATCAATGATTTTCTCTCATCATTGATGCTTCTATCTCTCTCACTCCCTTCCTTTCTGAAATGAATAAAAATATATTTAAAAAAAGATGAAATGTGATCTAAACGAGAACCTATAAAACACCTAATACATAGGAGGCTTTCTAGTGTAATTTCAATTGGAACAGAAAATGATCTTCTGAAGGTAAATTGTAATAACTCCTTTAGGTTCCCTCAGATGTTATTTTAGAGAATGATGAAAAAGATTTTACATAATAGAAAGAGCACTACGTGTTGTACTAAGAGTCTGATGACTAGTGTTTTTTCTCATTTCAGCCACTTCAGTACCCAGCAATGTTTATTGAACATCTTATTTTATATAAGGGCAGAGCTAGGTACTGGACATACAATGGTGAACAAAATAGATGTTTCTTGCTTCTTTTATAAAATTTTATGATTTTTATCAAATCAGAAACACTTTGTACAAAATCTGTACATGAGGTAGTATTATTAAATCTTTTATGCTGAAGAGGTGAAATTTTCTCGTGTAAAGAAAAAAAATGTTTCTAACTGAACACAGTGTTGTGGTTAAGATCTGACTGTTGGTTTAAAGAATGAATTATTTCAGCTTCTATAGAATGGGATTAAACTGTATAAAGTTCACATTTTGAAAAAAACCTTAAAGAAACCAGTTATCATCTGATAAAAATCATTTCAGTATCGTTGTCTTTCCATACTTGCTTCCTGTCTGGTAATTTGAAGTTTGGCATAGACTCTCCTAGACTTTGGGTGTGGGAATGGGAGAAAAAAACTGAGGACCATCTAAGTCAGCCGCTTTTCAGATAATGCAGAATTCCTGAGCCTGCCTTTCCAGCTACCATGCTGTTGTTCTAGGAGGGGTTGGGTTTCCTCCCTACGTCTCTGGTAGGGTAGTTATATGGCCTCAGTGTTTACAGAGCATTTTGAAAATGATGGTGTTTGGATAGTCTATGTAGTGGCTTTTAAAGTGTGATTTGAGGAACCCTGGAATTCCCTTTTAGGAGGCATATGAAGCTTTCTATTTTCAAAATCATACTAAGATGTTATTCACTGTGTTGATATTGCAGTGGTGGTGCAGAGGCAATGGTGGGTCAAACCAATGGTGGGTCATGCCCCTCAGCATGAATCAAAGTAATGGCACCAAACTGTTAACTTCACAATAATCTTCACCACCTTGCACATGCAGTAAAAATAACGTCAGTCTCACTTAAGAATATCTTTGATGAAGCAGTAAAAGTTACTAATTTTATGAAATCTCATGTCTTTTTTAATATTCTATTTTCATGAACCAGTAAGTAATGATAAATATAAAAGCACATTTTGCTTTATAGCAAAGTACAGTGGTTGGTTCAAGGGAAAACAATTGTGTTGAGGTGCAAGCAAAACTAGCTCCTTTTTTTGTAGAACATCATTTAAAAATATACATATATATATATTTTATTGATTTTTTACAGAGAGGAAGGGAGAGGGA